AGATCTGTCTGTCAACTCTGTGCTTTATTGGTAGCTAATAGACCGATGGCTTTTCTTTAGTTTATAAGATACTTCAAGATACTTCTCAAATATTAGTAAGTAGACAAGCAATATATTTTTTAGAGAATAGAATTATTTTCACTATTAGCCTTGTTGTCTAGGTGGCACTGTGAAGCATAGAAAAGATGTTCTCTTAGTTGTGGTATTACATACTAGTCTGTAGTAGTTAGTGTTTAGGTTAGATTCATAGACTTTGGCAGGAAACTAGTGGTCCTGCAGTGTACTTGATGATATCTGCTGTAGAAGACAGAATCTGAATTTAGTGTCCAGAATAGTATACATAAAGAACTCATAAATTCTGCTGGGGGAGGAGGGCATCCAATCCAGGAATATTGTGAACATATGCATTTGCCCTCTGCTACTCTGCACCTGAGTGTGCACAGTAGCATGGGAAAGAGCAGTGCAGTCAAAGTTAGACACCACGCTGAGATACCAATTTTTGAAACATTGTTGGATCTCTGAAGGTGACCGTGTCTGTCAGCTGGAAAGGCTGTGACAACACTGGGAGAAATGCTTGTTACTAGAATAGAAAGAGTGAAGTGACTTGAATACAAGAAAAAAACCACTACGTGGACAAACCACAGAGTTTGGCTGTGGGAAAGCTTTCTTGCCTCGTTAAACATCTTAAAATAAATAGATTGACTGTTAAGCAGTTAGCAACATGGTCTTTGGGGGTCAGGAAGCCTGCTTGAAAACAAGAATACATATTGCTGATATCCCTTCATCTGCAGTTGCGGGAAGGGCTTGGCTGGCGAAGTTGAGTCATCTGTATTAGATGGAAATGAGGTTATTCCAATGATAGACATTTGTGAGTGTAAGCACTAAAGCATACGCTTACTAGCTTGCTAGTAAGCCTGAGTACTTAGGGCTGTAAATCAGGCTATAAAGTTGTGCCAGGGTTTGGAAAGAACAGCTGTGGTAGAAGGACATAAGAAGCAGCAAAATCAGATCTGATTTTGCAAGTTATTTCTGTAAGTGTAGGCAATTTTAAGTATATGCATAAACATTACTGAATTCAGGACTCGGGTACGCATTCATAGGTCTTTGCTGACCTGGGACATAAATTACTTTATCAGGATTATAGGAAGTGTCTGTGGTTGAGCCAACCTTTAGCAAAGCTTACAACATTGGCTTTCAGTCCAAAGTGCATATATCTCCTTCATTTGAAAGAACTCCTTAATGTCTTAGTCTTCTTCCAGACTGCCCTTCTTGCTTTGAAGGTGAACAGTATCCCATGCAGCTTGCTGTGTGGGTGGTCTCTGAAAAATGCATTCAGACTCTCTGATTCTGCTCTGCATAGGTATTCCCCTGCCCTTCTTATAAGTGCAAGTACTTCCGTTGTGTCCCAGCCAACAATTTCTCCAGTCTCTTACTGTGAACTGTACTCTGTGCCTCTTTTCCCCTCTTGGCTGCTGCATTCTGTTTTAGAGATTTTTTTTTCTTTTTTTTTTCCTCAGAAGTAGAATAATTCTTTGACAGTGCAATTTCGAACCATTTAATTAAGGATTTCAATGGTGAAATGCATGCAGCAACTCAGTAGCACAGAACCTTAGTGACAGAAAAAATAAACTTCAGTATTTTTATTTAAAATATTATTAGTGTAGTAGAAAGGTATATAAACAATTTAAGGGACACCCTCTTACCCCTCAAACAGACAATGAAACATTGCAATAACAAACCCCCTTTCATATAAGGGAGGAAAAACAGAGCTTGTTCCTCAGACTTGCAAGTGCTAGGGATTATATATTTTAAAGACAGATGAATAACATCTATGGCCCACATTTGTGACAGAAGCTAGCCTACATGATAGCTTGTGTTCAGGTCTGTCATCCCAGGATGATTACTGGGAAGAAATCAGCTCTGGGACACAAATGTTCTTTTCCCTGAAATTATATCTTATGTGCTGTTTTGGTTATATATTCCCTGCTTACTTTTATTTATTTTCTGTTAATGTACCTCTCAGAAAAAATTGAATATGTGTTTGTGTTTTACCAATTGTTACAGAAAGAAAATATTCCCTGGTATGTTAAGGAGACAAGACAATGAAAAATGTGTTACACTGAAGTGATGGAAAAATTACAGTAGAAATTTTCTGCAATTTTTTAATTCTGATTTTTTTTTTTAGTTCTGAACAACTTGCAGAGCCAGTGATCTAGCTGGAGGAAACAGATAATACTATACTTTTATTTGCTTCATGTAATTGACAAAAATGCATCTATTGACAATCTAGTATGAAAGAGTATATATTTTTTTTTATTGTAATAAAGCTAACTTGGGGGCATTTTTTTTTGACAAATTTGGGTGGTTTCAAACAGGGTTAAGCAAGAAACTACTATAATATCTATATTTATTCCTGTTTGATTTCTTTCTGGGGAAGATAAAACCATGTATTTCTTGTTTAAGATTAGCTCAGGTAACTGAGACTATTATGGATGCAGAAATTTAATAACAACATTGAGGATCTTTGATCTTGGCCAGCAACAAACTATTTGCTTAGAAATGCCACAAGTATGCACACTCCCACCCAAATTCCCTTGTTCATCTCTATAGAATTTTAGTGGAATGCATAGAAATGAGTTTTTGCCCTCATTCTGAGGGGTTTCTGATGCTGCTGTTGTCTTTGATCCTAAGTGCTGATGTAGTACCTTAGTGACCCATCACAAATTGCTGTATTTATGGCTGTCCCCCTGTATTAAAAAAAATGTTTTTGAATTCTGCTGAATTGATGTCTGTTTGTTCTCATGTTTGTTGTCATAAAATAACCGTATATTGGGGGGAGGACCACACTCCCTGCCATCTCACTTCAGGTATCTAATTTGTGATTTATTGCATAGCATTTGACAGAGAGAAAGACAGAGGCTGCCTGACTCTTGAATAGGTGCTTTGAGTCAATTCTTGAAGATTTTCCATTCTCTGTGGGCTCTGAAGATAATGGCTTGTAATAGCAGGTCAAGGTCCACAGCATTGGTGCCTAATCCTGTTACATGGGAAAGAATTTTCTGAAAACCTAATTTTTCTTCTTGTAAATACCAAAATATTGATAGAAAAGTAACTGTCCATAGCATTTGCTTCCATCCGTACAGTTGGAGAGTCAGACCTAGCACAGTCCTGAGACTTCAGATTCTTAGTTCTCATCTCAGCATCTTGTCTGCAAATATAGGTAAGGAGCCGCAGGTTAATATGCTTTTCCAGAAGCCTATTTACTTTCATATCTCATTATAGTAATTTTCAAACTCAGAAACCACCAATGTGCAGTGTCACTGGAGACCTGTTGGACTTACAGCTCAGCTAAGAAGCCATGCTGTGAAATCTTGGGATGACCTTTCATAGGTGGCTTTTTTTGGCACTTCTTAAAAGGTGAACTCAGTTTGGCCTCAAGCTAATGGTCACTCTGGACAACCACAACCCAATTTTTCACCCTAGCAAGGCTTACCAAAAAGTTTTAGGGTGGGGACTGCTCATTTGCCCAAGTTACGTGTGGTATCTACACCAATATACTGAACCTTTTCCTGTAGGCTGTCGTTGCAGATTAAGAATTTTTACTGCATCTCACTGAGGCCTTTGGTTAGCCCTGATGCAGTTCTCCTTGAGAACTACCTGTACTGTAGCAGTACCAAATTATGGAATTGAATTAGTAAGCTGTTACTGGATGCTAATTACAGGAAAAAAAAGGGGCTGCAAAATAAAAACAGGCCTTGAAGTGCAAGGTTCCTGTAGAAACTTGTAACACTGTAATGCAGTGAAGGGATGTGTTCACAAAGAGAACAAATTTTTTTTTTCAGTGCTAACTGTCTCATATTTATGTAGCATTTAGTAACAATCCAAGGAAGGGAGGAAAATTTCTTTTGCCCTTCAGATACTTCAAGTCTTGCTTGAATCTAGAACTCACTGTAAGCTTCAGATAAGATAGTTGGTAGAGCTCATGGCACGCACAGAACCAAGTAACTTGGGGAAAATATGTCTGACATCAGTAGTATTCATAAAGCACATTTTTATCGGCTACACTGTACTCCAGCCTCAAGGTTGGAGAGGACTGGCAGCATCAAGAAATGTCCTGAAGGTCTGCAGGAGCCACTGTGTCTCATAACACTATCTAATAGTTGACTTTATCTGGCTAAAGCAGTGCTTAAATGGTTTCTTTTCCCAGAGGGGTGAAGCTGCTGAATGGTGCAGCTGTAACCAGCTAGGTGGATGGGAAGGGAGCTGCGAGTGAGTCACTGGGCTGAGTTGGTCCATCTCTGGGGATGCTGCTCTCTAGGGGAGAAAGCAAAAGAGAAAGTAATGGCCTCACGGCTGTGCCTCTCCCCTTGCTAGTAGAAAGAATGTTTCTCCATGGTAGGACGTGGAGGGCAGGTAGAAGAAGCCTTTTCTTTTTGTCTCCCCAGTTCTGGAGGAAGAGCAGCTCTGAAAGGAATGGGAGAGGTTCCCTGCAGGCAGGTCCCCTGTGCCTGGCACCCCCCTGGGCCTCAGGGAGTTGCTTCTGCCTCAAAACTTCATCTAGGATTCTTCGCAGATTAAAAAAAGGAAAGAAGTCCTCTCCACTGTGGTCAATGTGCTGTTTTGTCTACAGCGATAGAGAGAGATTTCATTGTGTAAACTTGTTTTTAATGAGGGGGGGTGTGCTGAAGCAGACTTACAAACTGTATTTATTTCAGATTACTAATAAGCATCGTAACTGCTGTACATTTTAAATAAAGTACTCTCCATGCTATCTTTTAGTGGGTTTTTGTTACTTCTGCTGTCATTATTTCATCGTATGGAGAAAAATCTCTTGTCTTGCATCTACTTTTTCCTGTTGTTGTGCTTTGCCTCTTTTTTCTGCCATTTAAGGTAGCAAGAGAGATATCCAGAATAGTTGCACAACTGGTTTCACAGTGATAAGTTAAATCTGTTATAAAAAAATGACACATTATTTCCTATTTTTTTAAATCATATTTCAGATACCTCTTATATCTGCAAATAAAAAGGGACATTTTCCATGGCCGTTTGCTGTGTTCTTTTTCTGATGCTGCCTACCTGGGTGCCTGTATTGTCCAAGGTAAGTACAAGCAGCAGGCTTTTTTAAACACTTAGCTCACAGGTATGCTCAAGTCGAAAAAGAAACAAAATTGTTGTGGGAATATAGCTAGCAATAATGGTTTTAGTTCTGCCTGGTACCATCGTGACAGGTATTCAAAGGGGGAGCATTACCTATGCCTCTGTTTTACAGAGCATGTTTCTGTCACAAAAAATTGCTAATTACTGCTACAGTTAATAAACCACGAACTTCACTTGAAACTCATTGATTGAAATGGCAGTTATGAGGATTTTGTTGTTTCAGTTAACTATCAGTTCTTCAAAGTAGCATTTCTTGAGAGATGCTGGATTCTTACCTATCATAGAAGTGTCTTGAATTACACTGTATTTACTGACTTCTTTCCTTATTAACTAATACTGCAACTGAATTTTTCTGTTTTGTTTTGTATTTTGGATCTATTTAGCTGAGCTTGGTGATTATGATCCTGATGAACACCCAGAGAATTACATCGGTGACTTTAAGATTTTTCCCAAGCAGTCACAAAAGCTTGAGAAGAAAATAGCTGAAATGCATAAAAATGAATTCAGGTAATTTAGAATGCTCTTTGGTAAAGAGACACCTAAGAAATACTTTTATCTCTTTCCAAATAGTGTGTGTTAACTTAGGAGGGTTTGTTCCTTGGATTATAATAGATGCTCTACCAATATACTGTCTAATATGCTCTGTTTGAAAATGTGGTTTCAGCTTAGTGGGTTTTCTTTTCCTGTTAACCTTCATTAATGATAGCTGATTCCTGCATATGTGCTGGTAATTTAGACTGCATTTGCTTGAAATGTAGGTCTGGTTAGAGGGAGTGGCTCACATCATGAGTGCTGCTCTGGTTGATTAGTGGAATAACATCTTTCATTTAGGGATCACACTTATGTCTTTTACTGTGAAATTTCTGTATGTAGTGCAATTATAAAATTCTTGATAGATATTGACCTGAATTAAACTGTAATTAAGTTATTTTGTCTGTAGGTTGTTAACTTAGTGCTGAATTGCACAGAAATGTATTTAAATAACTGCTTTGGAAGACTAAGGAGGTGAGATTCAGAACTCTGCATGCTCTTTTACTGGTCTAAACTTTTAATAGTGTGACAAAAGGGGAATGGAGAAAGATGGATTAATCAATCTTTTGGTTTCAATGTTGAACGTGTCCCCAAAGTACGGTGTTTCAGGAGAGAAGCAGCAGTGCATTGTGCAACTGTACCCTCTTCAGGATTGTCAGCGAATGGCACACAGAGCAGTTGTGAGGGTAGCTTGCATGACACCCTAGGCACTTCATGCAGCTGAGGATAGTCCTTGGCAAACTTGGAGAGGAGTAGGATGTGAAGAAAACCAAATGAGAGGGAAACGGTTAATTACACAAAGTAGCACAATTTTTATTCAAAGATTACAAGGACAACTTTTATTCAAAGATTACAAGGCTCTTTGCACTTGCTTAAAACCCCTATGTTTTCTTTTCATATTGAGATATATGTAAATGCTTTGCTTAAGTATATGAATACTATTTATACAATAAGTATATTAATACTATTTATACAAAAAGGAGATTATTCCTTTGTGAAACCTATGCACTTTGTTTATATTTCTTTCAGTGAAATGATGTTTTAAATGACACAGCTTCATCTAATATTTTAGCGCAGTCCAGGCTGCACTTTACACAGACCCATAGAAACAGCCTTTTAAACAAGAAAACAGAATTTCTCTTACTTTTAGTATTCTTCCATACAGTGGCTGCAGATTTCCAAAAGATAAATTCAACCTTTAAAAACCAAGATCTTTCATCAATTAAGCCAAGGTGCAATTGAAAAGATTTTGATCAATTGAGTCTTTCAAGAACAAGCTTGTTAGAAGAAGGGTCATGAGCCAAACCTGGTGGTTTTTGTATTTCATAGCTGTAGGAGAGATGTATTTTTCTGTGTTTTTCCCTTGTGCATAATTCTGCCTATCCATTGTGAATTTAATCTGCTAGTTCCTCTATTATGAATAACCAGGCACGTATTTCAGCTCATTTTTAAAATCCCCTTTCCTGTTAGTGTAATGTTCCTGATACTGTGACAGGATGTTACAGGCCTTGACAGAGGTCCCTCTGGGATTCTCCTAGTCATAGATTCCTCCCGTCAATGGCTGCTCAGCATATGAGGATGTCCCCTGAATTTCTTCAGTAGTCTTGGTGAGGGACAGTATTCATTATCGCCTTTTGGAAATCAGGTGGTATCAAAATGACTTCTTTTGCCTGTGGATCTGCTGATTCCTGCAAAGAATTCCAGGAGGTGTTTAGGCATAACTATAATTTATAGCAGAACTCTCCTCATGTATCCCACTTAAATGTATATGTTCCTTAATTCTCTTTGTATGTTTTTGTTTGTTTGTTACATTTTGTAAGGTGAGTTGCAATTCGTATGCTATGGGTGGCTTATAGCTCTTTGCAGCCCTGAGGAACAGTTTCGTTTCTTCTCTGTTTTCTTTCACTTATATCAGCATCTGGTGTGCCTTACCTACTTGTCTGATTACAAAGACAGTTTCAGAGCTGTCTGGATAGCTACTATCTGACAATTTTCCACTGTAGATCTGTCTTCCCCAAATTGATCATCCTATTACATTTTTTACATCAGACATTCACTAGTCACATAGAAGTTTTACCTTTTTCCTGATATTTAATTCCATGGATCTCTATTCTAGGAGTATAAATTAATAAAACATATCTGTCATACAATTAACTATATATAGAGAGGTCTAGTGCTAGATGATCAGATTTCCATATCTAGCTGGAAGAGGATGATTAGAAAAAACACTGAGCTTACAGGCTTCTGTCTGGTATTGATCAGCACATCTGTTTCATTGCATGCAGCAAGCTGAATTTTCTGATAAGAAGTAGTATGTTGCTGCTCAATGAGTAGTTTTAAAAATGCTGCATAGGTTCCTCTATGGCCTTTTTGTAACAAGATGCTTGAGTGACATGTTAGCCGAGAGCTGACATGTGAGGAGAGCAGAAGACACTAAGGGCCGTTTTACTCCAGCTGCCATTCCGCTACCTTCAAAATAATTACTTCTGAGTTTCAGCACTGCAAGTAAAGTCTTGTTCTTTGTTTTCTTCACATGTGTAAATAAAGAAAGATCATGGCATCTCTCTCCTGCCGCAGGCTCCCATATAACCAAAGCCCTGTGACTTGGAAGGGGCCAGTTCTTCACTGAATCCTGTCTCGGCATCCTCAAGGCCTGTCCACTGGGCACACCTTTTCTTCTGTCCTACAGCAGATGGAAGAATTTACCTTTTGAGAGGCACATGAAGACAGTGAGGGGAATGTCTGGGGAAGCAGCGATAGGGTACTGTGGCAGCTGCCAGTGACTTAGTGACTCATCTTGTGCCATTTAAAAGCCTTGTTCTTATTAATTAAACCAGATGTATGACATGGTGCCCCTATTTCTTATCCTTTGTGGCTGTGAGAACATCACTGGATTTTAGCAAAATGTGACCTTTTACGTGACCTTCTATTACACCTAATTGCAAAAATATAAACATGAGAGACAGAAATGCATGTCAGCTTTATTGAGCTGTGATTAATTGTCTTGTGAATTTTAATTAATTATTCTTCCGTCACTAAGAGAGGTAGAGGTACAGGAATAATTCCACTGAACCTTGCCAGTGGTGGGGCAAACACCTGCCTTGATTTCATCACAATACTTATTCTCATTTTCCTGTAATTCCAAGTAAGTCCTCTTTTGAAACATGGTATACTGCTGGGAGGCAAAGAGATAATACTCTTACAACTTAAAATCTTAGAATATGTGAGGATGTACTAGGAACTGATGAAACTTGGAGACTTGTTCTTAAAAGAATTCAGAATTAATTTAAATGATATGTTCTTGGATGTGGTTACAAGAGAGCATAGCTACTGAAGTAATAGCTACTTGCATGTCTTTTTCCCTGCCACTCTTAACAGATTGGAAAAAATGTGGGCCATAAAAATCTAGATATTCTGTGAGTGTATTCTGGTATACCTTCTTCAAGTGAAGTGAATGCTAAGGTCCCTCCCCACGTTGCTCATTTGCATGTCCCTTACCCTTTTGAGATGTGTGCAAGTGTTTGTAAGGTTGCATTGTAAATCACGTCAGTGAAATGATCCAGGTTAAAAAGAACTTATTTTCTTTTACTTGACTTCCATGCAAAAGTACATGGAACTGTATGTTCAGTTCTCACCTATTTTGGCAGTATTAAAGATATTTAATACACTGCGCTGTGCTCAGTGTATAAAGCCATAGTTCCTATTTATTTCTGGTGAAGCCCCCAGCTTAACAAAAATATAGTGAAGAATTCTGTATAGAATTGGGGAAAACCAAAATGAAACTAAGGCATCAAATGAGGCTAAGCAGAGTCATGAAATCTTCTAGGTAGGGGAGACGAAAGCTGAGCGAAAGGTTAGTTCTTCAAGCGTAACAGCAGGGATTACTAGGATTACTGGGTTTTTATGAGAAAGATCACTCGGGTAATCTTAACAATCTCTTTGGGATTTGAGGTTTTGTTTTGTTATGGGTTTTTTTAACCTATCAGAAGTTTGCTCCTTTCAGATGTTCCCAAAACACTTGTACTTTTTCTATGGCAGAATTAATACTGTTTGTTTATTTGGGCAACCTGCATTAGTAGCTGACCCAGTCTTGCTTCTATCTATTGCTATTGGATTTTGTGGGCTCCTCATCAGCTCTCCGAAGGAGCAGTTATGAAGCTTTCAGATATATGGGGCAAAAGGGATAGAGCAATAGAGGGATAGATTTTGTGGCAACTTGTACAATATGGCATGTAGAGTGGACTTCAGACATGATGTTTGGGATCAGAAAAGCAGGACATAAGCTATTTTATAAGCTTATTTATTTTTTATGAAAAAAAACAGGGCATGGAAAAGAGGGTGCTTGCTGGTGCTAATGCTGTTGTAAAGACAAAAAGAGGGAGGTGATTCTGCTGCTCTACTCTGCTCTGGTGAGACCTCACCTGGCGTACTGCATCCAGCTCCAGAGCCGTCAGCACAAGAAGGACATGGACCTGTTAGAGCGGGTACAGAGGAGGGACACAAAAAATGATCCAAGGGCTGGAGCACCTCTCCTACGAGGACAGGCTGAGAGACTTGGGGTTGTTCAGCCTGGAGAAGAGAAGGCTGCGGGAAGACCTTATTGCGGCCTTTCAGTACTTAAAGGGGGCCTATAGAAAAGATGGGGACAATCTTTTTAGCAAGGCCTGTTGTGACAGGACAAAGAGTAATGGTTTTAAACTAAAGGAGGATAGGTTTAGACTGGAGATAAAGAAGAAATTTTTTACGATGAGGGTGGTGAAGCACTGGAACAGGTTGCCCAGAGAGGTAGGGGAGGCCCCATCCCTAGAAACCTTCAAGGTCAGGTTGGATGGGGCTCTGAGCAACCTGGCTGAGTTAAAGCTGTCCCTGCTCACTGCAGGGGGGTTGGGCTAGATGACCTCTAAAGGTCCCTTCCAACCCAAAGCATTCGATGATTCTATGGTTCTTACAAAAGAATGGACTTTGTACGTATGCAC